GGGGGGTTTAAAGGGGTATTTTTTGGTTTGACGTTAATTGCGAACGACCCCAAAAAAGAAAAAAAAAAAAAAAAACCCATTGAATCTCCCCGCGGCTTCTACGTCTTAGCTCAGTTTAGTAAGGCGATAAAGCAGTTCAGCAAGTCGTGACCATTCACTAATTCAGTGGTTGGCGAACGGGGGTAAACTAATCCAAATGGCTTGGGTGGAGAGGGGTTGGGGGAGAGTTGGGGAGGGAGGGTTTGGAGAGAGAGGGGTTGGGGAGAGAGGGGTTGGAGGAGAGAGGGGTTGAAGGAGAGTGGGGTTGGGGACGATTTGGTGAGAGAGGGTTGGGGACGAGTTGGGGAGCGAGGGTTGGGGAGAGAGGGTTGGGGAGAGAGGGGTTGGGGGAGAGAGGGTTCGTCTTGTAATTATCATTTTTACCTACCGTATTTTCCGGCGTATAAGACGACTGGGTGTATAAGACGACCCCCTAATTTTCCAGGAAAAATATTGGGTTTGGGATATACTCGCCGTATAAGACTATTGTACCCGGCGTATAAGACGACCCCCAAGTTTTGGCACTATAATTTGGGTCCAGAAAGTCGTCTTATACGAATTGGTTCAACCCAATGCGGTTTTCTCACGGGGCCGCCCCATCCAGACCTCTCCATGGGCCTCATCCGAGTCAGCCTGCTCTGGTGACACACTGGTGACGTGACAACCTGCTCTGGTGACACACTGCTGTCGTGACACACTGCTCTGATGACACACTGGTCTTGTGACACACTGCTGTCGTGACAACCTGCTCTGGTGAAACACTGCTGTCGTGACAACCTGCTCTGGTGACACACTGCTGTCGTGTCACACTGCTCTGGTGGTACACCACTACGGTGACAGGTGACAAACTGCCCTTGAATTGAACTTAGTTGTGTTATAAAACTGACTTGATCGAGCTCCGTGAAATTTACTAATGTGTCATACCCCCAGTGAGGGTGTCTACCCCCTGTGAGGGTGTCCCGGGCACGGTCCACATCCCCACACCCCTCTAATGATGCTACCAGTACTGCTTAAAACGCCAAGAAATGCCAACAATTTCAAAACTGCTCAAGAGGAGACATTCTAAAAGTTGCTGCCTTTTGCAGCAAACATACCTTTGCCAATTTTTCACTCAAATACCATAAACACAAATAATAAAAATCAATTATTTACCCCCATCCACCCAACACCCCCCACTAAATCCAAACTTTCTATGACTTAAAAAAAAACAAACAACCCAAATGTAACATAATTTCTAAAAATAAGTGAACTGTAAAAGATTTTTGTTTCTTTAAAGAAATCTTTTTGTTCCATAATGAGCATTTTATTAATTTACTAGAGTACCTGGCAATGCCACTAAAAGTAAGAAGTGCTTGTGTTTTAATTAAGTTTATTTAAGTGCTGGTACTTTTGGATACACAATTTTTTTGTTTTTGTTTTTCAGTCTGGCGCTTACACGAATAATTCAGAACAATTCGTTGGTGTGCTGACAATTCACCAAAATTTTATCGCAATCAGATGAACTTTATAAGAACGCATACATTCATTTTATATATAGGCCTTACGATTTATCAATTCATTTTGTACTTACTCTATTCTCCGTAAAAAAAAAATAAGTTTGATTTATTATTAAAATAATGGCAGAGTAAAGAACGCAGCTAGCTGATCACAATACCCATGCTGGGAAGCAAATCATCAACAAATGATTTTATAATGCAATTTCACCAAGTTCTATTTGCTTCATTGGTATTGAATAAAATACAAACATAAATCACCAAGACTCTTTATTATTATATATTTATAAATGAACAAACATTTCTCACAGCCAACACAAACATGACACGTAACACAGTGAGGTCAAGAATATGAACATTATCTATTTTGTGCATGTA